AATGAAACACAATGTTACTACTATGTCAAGGACACAAGAGCTTTGTAGTTTTTGAAAATCGGTCCAGTGACGACGGAGAAAAAGGAAAATAACAAAAAAATCATCGCTCAAACTTCGTTGTCTGACATTTTAGACGATCCGGATAGTTTTCAGAAAAAATTTTGTAGTGCTTAAAAATTGAAGGTTAGGGCTTGCAACGGCTGGAGGAGGGTACATCTCAATTTTTTGACGTTGGCCTATTTATACGCCTCCAACCCCAGTAATTCTACGCACATATCAGGTATATTTCACTCATCATAGACGAGACCCCGTACATCAACCCTCAAAACTTACTATCTACTAGAGTCGGGCGTTGATACATGCGACGTCGTCCTCCGATGGACAAGTATCGTTGTCGGTAGTCGTACGTCACAGTCGGCAATTGCTTCCACACTACTAAGGGCTGCGTGCACTGTGCATGGTGAAGACCAATATCGTCATTCCTGCGGGGTTGGTCATCGCAACTATCATATGCACCTGCTGCTATTCCTCTCAGGAGGAAGGTTATTTAATTTTTGTCCGTGGCTAATGTTTTTCTCAGAAGGGCTAACTTGTGCTAAACATAATCCTTTACGAAATGATGACAGCTTAGCACGGGAGTATAGTCAACTTACTTGACGTAATTTTTTTATAATTTCATCGTATTAAGCATTGAAATTATGTTTAATTTTGTAGAAGATTGTCTCCTTCGCATATTGGTACTTTTTAAGATATATGGAAATATTGTTTTTTCCTGGTTAAAGATCCATACGTCTTTTACCATAAGATCATCTCAGTTGGCGCCGTGACCAACTGGGATCATATTATGGTACAACCCTTGATTTGGAAACAATAGATAAACCAACTATTAATTTGCGAAGTAGACAACATATAAATCTAATCTTATTCTTAATCGATATAATTATGAAAAATATGATTTCGTTAAAAATATTACTTCTAGAGTTATCTAAGATCTAGCTTTCCTTGTCTTTTTTGACCACCCTTTACTATTTGTTATACAAATACTTAATAAATCTACTCTACTAAAGTAGGTACCATACTATAAGAAAACCGTTACAAATCATATGGCAAAGGGAAAAATGCGTTGTAAAATTCTGTAATTCTTAGACTTGGTAAAGGTTGGCACACGTGAAATATATTTTGAATAAGCGTTTAAAATGAGCAAGTTAGTGTTTACCTCCGGTACAACCGGAAGTGGCACGATTTTGGTAATCGTTTAACCCACTCGCTCCTATCTGTTATAAACCCAGATTTTCATACCTGTCTTATGTCAACTTTTTGAGTAATCGATCGATGCAGTTCTACGTGGGACACCCTATATATAATTTGTTTATTTGAAAACTTATTAGTATTTACTGAACCTCTTCCGGATTAATAACCTAGCAAAGCGACCATTGTTTTAATATTTTAAGGAAGTGTGTACTTATCCTTCTTTATTCTCCAAACCGTAACATTGCAATTTTTTTCATAAATCGCCCTTGAAGCTTATTACATTTTTACATACTCTAGTTTACTTCACAGTCACTTGTTTCGGATAACTAGTACAGGTTTGGAAAATGAGCAAAATAATTCAACCTTTTTCTAATCTGCCCTAACAAGCGACTGATTCTATTAGCTATTCTATTTTCTTCTTTTGAATGTTTTACGTTTGTCTTAAAAGAAATGGGATAAGAAAATCTTACAAGTTTTGCAACAGTACATTTTTTGGTGGTATCGTTAGATTATTGCTTCCTAATCCTACCTATCAAGGTTCAAATTGGCGTCATGATGGGGCTGAAGCATTTGTCGTCATTTTGATAAACGTGTTCGATCTAAAATCTCGAAAACCATCGATAGTATGTAAAAAAAGTCATAAAAACAATTTTGTAGGAAATTGAATTCTGTCTTTTTGTTTCTATAAATATTTGCCGTATTGTCAACAGTTTACGACATTTTTTTGTAAAGGCACCTACCTGTAATAATATTTTTGCTTATAATAGCTAATCTGAATCTGAGAGTATAAAACATTCCAATTTTTTAGAGAAAGAAAGTTTCTACTAAAAGGTCTTTCGTGATTTTTTTTTGATACATTCCCCGCAACAACTACGTTGTCGATGATATCCGCATACAACATTATTCCACGAGGAGATAATCATTACCTAGTGAAGCCATTTTTTTGCTAACACGTGTATTGAAAATATACTTCTTGATAATTTGTGATGTTTTTATGAAAATCAAGTTCCTAGCTTCCATCAGCCCGCCTATTGGCAATTTTTTCACCGCGTAATTTCAGTAACCATTGCAGCGATTTTAATGGAAAATATGATGCAATAGATAATGGTAATGACATTTCTTCCTTTCCATTAAAACCTTTGCAATCGTTGCTGAGGCAGGGGCAAAATGGTCAATGTCAATAGACAGACTGGTGGAAGTCAGTGGCTTCTTGACTATGAAAACAACACAAATCTGCAAAAAATATTACACATTTTCCATACTTACACTTGGCAGTAAAAAATAAATTCACTTGAAGATATTATCATTATCATAGATATGAGGTCTTTAATTTAAGTGATTTGGCCACACTGGAGGCACCAGGCTTGGAGGGAAGTCAGGTGAACATATGTCCGCCTTCAGTACAAGTTTGAACTCGCTCGAGTCATTTGGCTGTCCGTAGAGAGTTTTTTTGTGAAACAGGTTTTCCTATCGTGTTCTAAAAATGAATGACATCAATTTCGAGCAACAATGTGCTATCAGGTTTTGCTTCAGATTTGGGCACATTGCAACGGAAACTCTTACTAAACAGGCTTCTGAAACCGCACAGCGCTGGAGACGGTTCTTATACCCCTTATAGCAGTGCTGGAGCTCCAATACTGGAATAGCCTTCAGCTGGTCGGTTACAGTCGTTTGAATGTTTTCGATGGACCCCCAGGTGATTTTCCAACTTCGAGAAGAGTAAAAGGTCACAAGGACTCAAGGAAGGTAAATAGGGAGTCTGAGGAGCCACATGAATGTTTTTACTGGCAAAACACTCGTTTATTGACATTGCTGAGTAAGAAGGAGTTGTTCTTGATCTGATGAACGGTGGTGTGAGTCAAAAACTCTTCCCCGATTATTCTGCCAACCGACGATATGCAAGAACAAGATCCCGAATTCTGTCGATCTTTTCATCGGTTCTTGAAGGGAGGCCTTCCGCTTCGTGGTCCATATTCAGTCTTCTGAAAATGCCTTAAACCATTCAAAAACCTGGGCTCTTGAGAAAACACTGTCTCCGTAGGTCTGCTGAAGTTTAGCAAGAGTTTCAGTTGGACTGTGCCCGAACCTGAAGCCAAACCTGATAGCACACCGTTGCTCGAAATTGATGTCATCCATTTTTAGAATGCAATAGGAAAAACTGTTTAAAAAAAATAGTTACGCTCAACCAAATGACTCGAACGAGTTAAAACTTGTACTGAAGGCGCATCACATGTTCCCCTGTCCCCCCTCCAATGCCGCCGCCTCCAGTCTATCCATATCTAACGCTGCGTTGCCATTTTCAACACTTAATTTCCACCTCGTACTCAATACATTTTTTTCTTTTTACTGTATAAAAATAGCAAAAGAATCTAACTGTTAATTAATATGCTAGTCGGTGTTTATAATGATTATAATAAGGCTATGAAGCACATATCTAGATAATTTCATTTTTATTATAGTAACGTGTCGCCATTATTAGAATAATAACTGAATTGTTTGGCTAATGAGAGGAATTCGATTCTACTCTATACTTACCTATATCTATTTAGCATAAACTAGTAAATAGTATCTCATTTTGTTTAGTATTCGTTCCATTGTATCATTTCTGTAATAGTACCGCTGGAGACTGCCAATAATTTTAACGGGAGATGTTATTATTTTTTGTATACTGATTAACAACATTCTGTTTGACAAGCGTAGTATGTACAACAGAATCACAAAATTAAAAGTTTTCTAAAAGATAATGTTACATTCTGGAAAAATATGAAATAAATTATTTTTCGATTGTGATATTCTTTTCAAAAGAGACGTGACATTTTATTTATTTGAAAGTTTGCTTTATCAACTTTTTGTATGTATTTTGAATTTTTCGCACCAAAAAACTTTATTTAAATCCCTGAATGTGAACTTTTGAAGCCATGAAACCAACTTCACAAAGCAAGTTTTCACACATTTCCTGTTTTATATGTTGCTTCATTTTAAGATATGTATTATTGTTTTATATTTTCATAAGTAATGTCATAAGGGTATCTAATTAATCCGTGAAAAATCTAAAAAGCACGTTGCTAAAAAATATTTTAACCCGAAGCATGAGTGCTGGTTGCAACAAGAATCCGCGTCGAAGACGAGGATTTTTGCACCTGCACGAATGTTTTTTGTTACAAAATATTACGTTCCATTGTGTTCTTTCGATTTTTATCACAAAAAAAAATTAGATGCCCGAAGGGCATTTGACAAGACTATTTTATGAGGAACATTGTTTAGCGTCGTTTTCTGGTATCCTAGGAGACCATATTTACTTATTATCAAAGGTATTGTAATTTTTGGTGACAACAGCTGTCAGGTTTTGCCGCGGGTAAACTCGAAAAAACTGCTGACAGGTGCTGTCATACAATTTTCCCAACTAGAAACCATTTGTAATTCACTGTACAGTACGTGAAGTAACGCAATGAATATTTTTCAAAACGTTTTGGTAAGCTTAACATCACTATTGTTGTTATATTTCACATTTCTGTAAGTATACGATTATTCACACTATTCTTTTTGGCAATTATGATTATCAATTGATGAGTTACAAATCCTTATTCAATACGTATAAATAATATTTATTTTTTTCATTAGAATAAAGCCGTAGAAACAATCGAGGACACGTCATACGCAAAATTTTGACTATCCATTTGTGTTACGCCTGCTAAGTCTCCTCATGTTTGTACACAGATTGAACTGGTTGGTTTTGGGTATAGATTTTTCTACTCATCAACTTTCTGATAATTAATACAAATTATTTCTTTTTTTATGTAATACCACCTTAGTTAGCTTTTATTTCACTCTGTAATGAATCTAATACTCCAAAATGTTATTTATCAAATAAAGAACCCTATTTTCTTTCAGGAATATCTTTTCTCAAATTGTTTAGCAACTTTTTTATTAAAGCATAACATAAACAAAAAGGTAAACTTCTTGAAAATATATGAACTTTGCCGTTTGCAAAAATTCTGGTGTACTTCTTATTTTCAATTCATGAATTTTTCACGTGTTATCTAGTCCTTCTTCGATTCTGAACACTAAAATGTTTTGAATAACGCGTGTCAAGAATTAAAGAATATTTTTGTTAATTTACACTAAACTTACAAACAAAATGTTTGTTGATGCAATTCCATTCTTTTCAGGGAAAATAAGTACGTCATTTTGCAATTTTTCACTCCATTGCGCTCTAGATCAAAAAAAGTTTTTCTTCGATAAAATTCACTTGACGGTAATATAATGGGTGCACGCAACCCCTATGTAGGAGATTTTTCATATTTGAATAATGAACTAAACATTCAGAAATATTTTTTGTGAACGGAAATATGCCGTTTTAGTGTTTAAACCAGAGTTCCCCAAACTTTTTTGTGTCGTAGACCCATTGCCATGTTTTTCCGTGTTGGGTAGACGCCCTACTTACCTGATATTGATTTCCTGTAAATTTCTAACTGTAGTGAAGTTTAGTGTTAAAAACTTAAAGTAAAAACACATGTTAATTCATACATTTATTAATTGAATTTAAATTAAAACTACTCAAAATAAAATTTTGTATCTGTTATGTAAAATATACGTAACATTAAATAAACAGGTGTCTGACCAATAAGTGCCCGCATTGGGAATAAGTGCCCGCATTGAAAAAAAAAATAAGAGGGATAAAATAAAAAAAAGTGAAAAATAATAAAAAAAAAGTTTTTTACTTAAAATAGTACAATAAGCGAGTTCGTTTATTAATTATAACATAAACGTATGTTCTACAATAATTTCACTGTTAGTTTGATTAAATTCCGCTCCTTATACCTTTAAGTTATCTAAAAATAGGCAAAAAATTAATGAATTTTAGTGTGTACCTATCCTTGAATTTTCAGAATAATTTAAAAAAAAATATTTTCTATAAAGGGGGTTCTTTAAAAAAATCAATGCGGGCACTTATTCCCAATGCGGGCATTTATTGATCAGATACCAATAAACATAAAATAAACTATAAATAAAATAACATAAGCAATAAGTCAATATTTTTAGTGAGAAGGATGAACCTGATGCTTTAATAATAAATTATCAACATTTGGCGTCAATTTTGTAAGGGTTAATCTTAAATCTCCTCGGCTAATGATGTCCAGTCTGTTTCTTTTTTTCATTAGGAGATTGGTAACAGCGCCGAACCCCCTTTCCACTAGGTATGACGATGGAAAGGAAATTAAAAATGTCCTCGCTATATTCCATAATACGGGATAAGTAACGGGTATGTTGTTTTGCAGCCAGAATTGCTGATATCCGTTTTTAAACTGAACCTTAAGTTCTTCGTTTGTACTTAGTTCAGTCAGTTCCTCTTGTATTATGACATTCGTTTCTCCTATGTCACTATATGGATTAATTATCCACGGTGGTATTACCATAGTCAAAATATCCTCAAACCTAGATTCAAAATCTGAATAGAGGGCATTTAAATGTTGAACGTAAGTTGAAACGTCGTCTTCCTGGCAGCTTGTCTGTGACAAATTGGGGAACTGAGAAAATTCGCCCCGTCCAATATTTTGCTTCATTAGTTTAACTCTGGCAAGAAACGCTGTTAAGATGGACTTTGTTTTAATCAAATTTAAACTGTCGCCTTGTAATTGCAAATTAACCATATTAAATTTTGTAAAGAAATCTGTTAAATAGGCGATGTCTGTTTTCCTCTTCACTAAATTTTCTTTTAAAATTTTATCTTTAGTATCCAGAAATTCTAAAATAGTCTCAAAAGGTGCAAAAAATCTTGTCAAACATTAGCCTTTCGACAGCCAGCGTACTTCAGTGTGAAGGAGTAATTGATGAAAGTGTTCGTCATTTTCTTCACACAACTGCGCAAATAACCGCGTATTCAACGCGTTGCTTCGGATTCGGTTTACTGCATCAATGACTAAATGAAGTGATTCATGCAATCTAAAACTCAAATTTTTAGCAACTAAATGTTGTCGATGGATGACACAATGTATTGCTAACACCCCTGACACATTTTGTTTTAAATAGCTTATAAATCCACGATAACGTCCAACCATGGCAGGTGCTCCATCTGTAGCTACTGATATTATATTTGATAAAGGAATTGCTTTTTCAATGAAGTAATCCTTCAAAACATGAAATATTGATTCACCTTTAGTGTCGGTTATCAAAGTTCTTGCGAAGAGCAGTTCTTCGTAGATTTCTTGATTCATAATAAAACGAACATATGCCAATAATAATGCTGCATTATCAGGTAAAGTTGACTCGTCCAGTTGTATAGAGAAATGGGTCGTTTGCAAATAATTACATAAGAAACTTTCAATGTCAGAACTCATTTCATCAATACGTCTTTCAACAGTATTGTTGCTTAAGGGAATTCTTTTAATGATATCAGATGCAGGTTTGTGTAAAACAGTTTTTAAAACCTGTTCAACGGCTGGCAAAATTTAGATAGTAGTGCGGTTTTCCGGATTTTGCTATAAGTAACGAGATATTGTAAGACGCCCGCAAACCATCATCATTTCTTTGTGACGTCGAAGCGAACATTCTGTCCAGTGTAGGTCTCTTCTGAAATTTATCTTTGAGTGTTTGAAAGTATTTCAAATCTTTCTCTGTTTTATCCGGGTGGCATCTTCTCAGATGATCTTGCAGTTTAGATGGTTTCATAGCGTCATTGCCCAAAACTTTGTTGCATAAAAGGCACATAGGCGATTGTTTGTCCGGCAATGATGGAATGAAGCCAAATTTCAAATAATCAACACTGTACTGTCTACATTTCTTTTTAGATTCGGACATGGCATCAGTCATCTGTGGGAGATTGCACTGTAATTATATTACCGATTGCTAAAACTTTCAAATAGAAACTATTGTACTCGTGTAATTTTCCATGATTGAATATTTAACTACTAATAAGTAAAGTCATGATTGGCGTAATTTATCTATCTTTGCTAACTACGAGTACGAAACTAAAATTTAATAAAAAATAATGTACTTACTTTTCTCCAGCACTCCCAAAAAAAATAACACTGACTGACTATAATTTGTGTGATATACTACCTGTTTATATTTTTTAAAATATTTTCTTAGCACTTTCCTTTTCATTATTCAGGAAACAAATAAACGTATTTGTCCCACATTCGTATTTATAGAGCGACGAATTGAACAAGTCAGTGCAAGGTAGCGAAGGTCTGAGACTGCGACTCTCAGGTTTTTACAAGTTCAAAATGTATTGCGACCACAAAGCGAATACCAAAATCTTACAACTTCACAATTTTATAAACATATATAATAAATTTTTTACTTCATAGGTACTTTCATAAATAATGTATATGTTTTGATATTATAAGATAGTATGATGTAAGTAAATAGATACTATCAGTGTATGTGTTGAGACCCCCATATTCATTTCATGGACACCCAAATTTGTTTTCGCTGACGTAGACCCCTTGCAGGTTGTCATAGACCCCTAAGGGTCGATATAGACCACTTTGGGAATCAATAGTTTAAATAATAGTGAATCAATCTCCTTGATCTCAAGTTATGTTGAAACTTTTCATTTTAAGGAGCTTTATCGCTTAAATATTAAGAAATATAAAACGGCAAATTTCCAATTGGAAAAAATTATGTCTGATTATTTAGTACGTTTAAACATCTAGATAAAAGCTTTATTTTTTATTCATTGCAATCGAGCTTCCCAGATCGACGTTAAAAGATGGTGAATGCACGTATATTTGAAACACTTGAAATGACACATTTAAAAAGTATAAACCTTTCAAATGCTTCGTGGTACGCAAAGTAACAAACTATAAAAATGTATAAAATGAACTGTTATTATTCCATAACTATATGATTGTTATACACTAAATAGTAAAAAAGTGTTGTTTCAACACCGGATGCATGTTTGCCATTCCGCAATATGCTCATTTTCCGTAAACAGCAATAAAATCATGTGACATGATAGTTTATTGTCTTGATTGAGGTCAAGTTATAGCAAAAAATAAACGACAGTAATATGTATACTTTTTTACTTTCAGAAACGAAAAATGGTTGTCGAGTCCACCTCAACGCAAGTGCTCAGGGATTTGGAGATATCGTTACGTACAAATCATATAGAGTAAGTAGACGTAGTCCGTTGGTTGTAATTGTTATTTATGTCCATCGTTTCATGAAGTACTTTGTGCCAAAACTAGCCATAACGTAATTTGCAACTGCTGAAACCACCACATGTGCATAGTTTTAGTACTACTAACGTTTCGAATACTTCATCAGCCATTTACAAAGTATTATCAAGTCTTTAAAAATAAATAATATAAGCAACTTGGTTCTTGTAGTGCTTTCGTTTTTTTGTAGAAGTGAGACGTGGCAAAACCATCCTCCAAAATTCAAATAAAAAAGGTCGCGCTAAAACTGTGATGCAATAAGTTCTAGCGAACATAATAAGTTTTTTCTAATGTCCGGGTGCAACTTGAAACTTCCATATTTTTGTTGCACCCGATGCACTCAGAAATTAGAGTGGAACTTCAGACATCTGAGTTAACTGGAAGAGTTTCTCTACTCAAGGTCGATTTTCTAACCTATGCCAACATACAAGTTGGACATTTTTGTGATTTGAACTACTGGAAAGTTCTAGCAAGTTCTTCTTAAGTTTTAAAAAGCTGACGTGATGATAATAATTTGTAACTACTCAACAGGTACAACCAAGTTTGGCGATGTACCGTGATCCATTTCACTAAATCGTTTTTACACTGATGAGATCTAGATCCAAAAGATGTACCAATTGATAGATATTATGTTTACAGCAGCAAACATGATCATGATACATGTGAAAATATCACTGAGTTTTTTCTTCGTATAAATTTTGTGTGACAGAAAACAACCAACCCAACCCATGAAGCCCATATACCAGGAGAAGAGACGGCAATCACAATGTAGTGCTACTGTAGCGATACTTTGTTTTCTGCTGAAAGCACATGATCACTTTAAGCGCTACCGGAACGGCCACCATTTTTTTCATCATAACCAAAATGTGCGCCGTCAAGCTTTGGGGTCGTTTTTTACTCGGTGCGCCGGCTTTGTACTGATATGCGGTTCTTGAATGTCAAACGTCAATCCACAAATATAATATAACCCTTTCCTATTCTTCTGTGTGTTTAATTTGTATTGCCAGTGACTTAAATATTCCGTGGAAAGTTATCAGTGAAAAAAAAAACGATATCAGATGGCAACTGACGTAGAGCTGCTGACTGTTTAAGAAGTCATTCATTGTTCTTTTGAGCAGAATTTAAAAAGTAATGTCGCAGTATTTGCTTACATATATTTGAATTATTTTTATAATCGTTAACGTTTTATCACAAAACAGTTGCGTGTAGCAACTCTGTTCTCAATTTTGTGTTCTGTAGTTCTGTATGAAAAGGGCAAATGACAAAATAATAAGGGCATAACCACGGTGTATCACGGTTCTTCGCTTAAAATTGCTTAACGTGGCCATACTTCTGACACAGAGGTTAGTCTTCCGTCAGATGCCTCGTAAATAACCTTTTTGGCGTTGACAGTTTGACATGATATGTTCTTTCGAAAAGTCAAATCATATTGACTGATTCCTTTGGCGGGTAATACAAAGTGTTTCAACATAAAATATTCCACGAGACATGCTTGCAAGTATATACCCGTCGACTACCGCCGTCATTGAGGAATTCTGGGAATACGGGAATAAAAATAAAATGAAACCTCTTTTTATTGCTTCTGAGGAAATTACAACGACCTTACTTGGCAATATGGCTCATACGATGGAAAGTATGAGTGAACGTCTAAATACAGCAATGGTTTGAATGGATTCTCTCTCAACGTACAGACATGTGTTTTCCAACACCTGAACGAACAAAAGCAAAGGTAAACTGCATCATTTTTGAAAATGAGAGCAACATATTTCGGCTATTAGAAACATCTAGGTAAAGAATACCCTATTGACATATTATTCTGAATGGTAAACATAGTTATTTGCATTGATTGGTGCTTGCTGTAGCTGTTCTTCATTTGCTATCTGTTTTTTAATAATCGTAGAAACAAAATCAGATGATGAGTTTAAGTAGTACACGGTTCTTTACCGTGACTTGAGTTTTACCCAACTTTAACCGACTGAATGACATTAGATTTTTTTGTCTTTTGCAGATGGGTTAGGGAATTTTTAAATGAAGAAAATCTTGGATTGGACGTCCTGATAGACTACCTCAGTTTTCGCTTGGGCATGATGAGGCATGAGCAAAGAATTGCCGAGTCACGAACGCCATCGGAAGAAAAATTAGGATCCACCAATTTACCTAGTACAAATTTAACTATAGGTAAGATCGTCTAAAAATAATCTCTATTTTTTAGTAGTAGCAAGTTCTAGATATGTGTTGAATCAATATTTCAATACCACGACAATTTAATAAAACCTGTCATCATAACCTGGGTACAATTTTTGGTACATATTAGAATAAAGTGAGGAGTACATCTATACGTTGGTCTTAGTTCTTTTGTAGTGTCTCTTCAAACATCAAAGACCTAAATTATAAAAATTATCCCTTATAGATTATTAGAGGATGGTCGATATCGATATTTTTGAATATCTGTGATATATGGTATTGTTACTTTTTGATATCTGTGATTATACAACCATGACCATGTAGGTTGTCTATACCTCATTCTTCATGTATAGCGTATATTATAAGTTGTCTCTTACTTACTACGAACGCCTGCACCGCTATGACAATTAAAAGGACCAACAGAGTTACAGCTAACCTCCGCAGCATCCGCAAGTGAGATCTTTCCACTATCCCTTTTTAGTGTACCCGCGGCTTTCAAGAATCGGAATCGAAGCCAGTGGAACAGAAATCATCGGGATCAGAATCGAAACCTTCGGAATTGATTCCTTCGAGGTGTTCGCACGGGTATTATGTAAAAAACCTATAAAAAGTCAAAAAAATCCATAAAATGTCATATTGCAGACTAGGTAGTTTTTAGGGTGCAAACAGTCATTCCACGCCTGTTCACTGGAACCGTTGTGAGCGTCCAACTATAAGGTGTGTATACATATGCGTGCCGAGCGGTTCGCGAGCCGCTTGTGAGCAACTTGTTCGGCTAATTGGGACGGGGTTTATGGTTCCAAACGAACTGCTTGTGAGCAGCTCGTGAGCCGCTCGCGACGAGCCGCGGCCTGTCGGTTTTTTCGACGAACACAAAGGAATTCGCAGTGCATATTGGGACGTGTTTAGACAAGGTTCGTTGTTTTTCTTTACCTCGCGAGCGAACTTTATTTTTCTTCAATAAAGTTATGGATTCATGGTCGGAAGAAAAAATATTATGTCTGATAAACGTTTATAAAATCAAAACGTTATTATGGGATCCTAAAAATGAAAATCACTTCAAAAAAAATTTGAAAGAGGACGCTTGGCGGGAAATTGCGGATGAAATGGAAACCACTGCTGAACAGTACAAAAAGAAAATAAGAAGCCTCTTAACTTCTTTACGCCGGGAGAAAAATAAAACAAAGCAGGGGACTAGTACAGGAAAAGGTAAATAAATGAAATAATAAGATAAATTAGTTGTGTTTTATTTAAATAATAATACAAAATATTTTTGCTAATACTAATTTAATTTTTAATTCAACTAAATAATATGTTTTTAATTAAGTTAGTTCACTTGCCGTATATAATTTTAATCTCGATTTTAATTTTCAGGAAGAGATGAAGTTTATTGCAGCAGATGGTTTGCCTATGAAGCGTTTAGGTTTTTAGAAGACAGAGATTTGCCACGAAAAAGACTTGCTACGGTAAGTAATTATTGTTATAAATTCAAGCATATTGGTCCTGCCATTCTAGAGCTCCATTATTTATAAAATAATTAGCGATTTCATCTCCAACTTTTGTACAATAGTTTGTGGGTCTTCGACGAATATTTCGTATAGGTACCATAGACGTCATATCTCCTTCATTTCTCCATGATCCCTCAGTTAAATTTCCATTAACTTCATAGTCTAATATGCCAAAAGGGGTATACATATTTGGTGAGTGTTTTCTGAGATAATTATGCAAAAGAATGACTGTCATTATAACCCACTCTGCTTTTGCAGGCTCTAAGAGCATTGGTTTTCTTAACACTGCACTTGATATACCTAATGCGTTTTCAACTATGCGACGACCTCTACTCAAACGATAATTGAAAATTCGTTGAGGAGTTCCTTTTGGAAAGTCCCCAGTATAGGGCTTCATGAGATTTTAGCTTAAAGCAAATGCGCTATCGCCGGCAAAAAAATACGGTATTTGCATAGAACATCCTTCTAGTTCTTCTGGTGTTGGAAGTCCTAGTCTGTTTTCTGTAAGCTGCTGATATAATTTGCTTGCCTTAAAAACCCCCCATCAGAAATTCTTCCTTTGCAGCCTACGTCAGCAAACATAAAGTTATAATCACCATCAACCAGTGCGAAAAGCACAATACTAAAATTGGATTTATAATTGAAGAATTCGGTACCCGATTTCACTGGTGCTTGTAAAACAACGTGTTTTCCATCTAGGGCACCAGCACAATGAGGAAGGTTCCAACGAGTTTCAAATATCTTGCTAACTTGTTTCCAAGCTGTGGGAGTCTTAGGTAGCTGAAATGAAATAACAATTATTAATTTTGACCTGTTTTATTCATTATTAGCTTATCTTAATAATTTATTTATTTAATATCATTTTTTGCGCAACTACTTTGGTGTATTTTGGAATAAGATAAAACCACCCTTCTCAAATAATAAAAAAGGAATCGCTAATACTATGTTAACACAATTTCATTTCAAAATTTCATTATTTATAAACTACATATAAAGTTACTGAAAATGTATTTAATAGGAGCTGGATGATGTTAACGAAGCTGCCCTATCTTCCGAACAAATGGAACAAGAGGCGGTACCAGAGACACCTACTATACCATCTACCTCCAAATCTACAAAGCGATCAAAAACAAAACAAGATCATGTTTCCTCTCCAATAATGAGTGATGCATTTCAGATTTTGAAGAATGCTGCGAACTAAAAATGGACAAAGAGCCAACTCAACCCAGTGAAATAGATTTATTTTTTAATTTTGTTGCTGCAAAGGTTCAAAAATACCCCCCTCCAATACAACAGACAATTCATCATGCCGTTCTTGACCTTATTATTAAAGCTGATAGAGGATTTCTTAATCCGACTTCAATTCAATCTTACAATGATTCTCAACCTACTTCCTACATACAGTCACAAGCTACCAATCATATCAATTCACAACCTACTTCTTCGATGTATTCCCAACCTACTTCACATAATCTATATTCTCAATCTTCTGAAACTTATTATTCATAACCTCTGCAAGTAATAACCGTTCCTGCAACTTCTGAACCATCATTGTCCAACCCATCATCGCTACAATCACCTGTTTCGTCACTCACATCAGAAAAATATGAAGATTTTGTGTAACGTTTTTGAGTTCTATTTTTTGTTTGTTAACTTAGTGGTGGAAATTACTTTAAAGTGAAGAAAAATATAATTTTGAATTACACACAGGCTTTTAATTTATATATTAATGTTGTTACCTTGATATATCCCTGCAATTCCTTAATTAGTGCAGCACAAACTTGGGGTACTACACGCCCAATCGACTGCTTGAAAATTCTGAATAGATACTGAAGGCTAGTATATGAATCTCCCGTGGCAAGAAACCGAAGTGTTACGGCTAACCTAGAATATTAATTTAAAAAAATTGTTAAAAAAAAAGCTACCTGTCCACGGTACACCGACTTACCTTTGGGCAGAGATTGGAGTACGAAAATAAGTATCCTGTTTTGAAATATGGGGTCCAATCCTTTGCAGCAGATTCTCAAAGTCAGTACGTGTCATTCGAGTGAAATTTTTATACTGTCCGCTTATTTCTTGGGACTTTAGGTCCATTAAAATTCCCGTACCACTGCGTTTCTTGAATAAATTAGTACGTCGTTGTCTTCTCTTTTTTTTATTTACATCAGCCATTACTAAAACTGCAGCACTCATCACTAAAATAGTATAATTTTCGTTTCGCGAAGCCATACTGCATTTGTCGACTGCGATGTTTGCGTTTGGTGCGCTGAATCTGTGGATCGCTGGAGGTTCGCGGAAAAAATCATTTCAACGAACCACCATCGAGCGGCTCACAAGCGGCTCGCGAACCGCTCGGCTCGCATATGTATACGCACCTATAGAGGAATAGCTCAACTACACGCATTGTTGGCTGCATATGTTTTGTGAAGCAGAGTAGTCTATAGTTTTCATCTCTGAGAAGAAAGTTGATTGTATAAGAATATTGCATCTGGATGATTATGTATTGGTCTGTATGTGTATAAAATCAGTGATATTTGCTGTATGAGAATGAAGTGTATCTATTAGCTGTGCCCGACTGGTTATTTATATGTTGTCCTTTCTGAACATGTTATGTTCAAAGTCATATTTACGATTTTTTACATCTTTTTGTGTTCAAAGACTTTAAGAAGAATTACGGGAAATCACCACCGCGCCGCGTTGTGTGTAATTACTGTTAGCATGTATATGACTTGTAATTCGACAGTGTACTGTGAATATTTTTTTTATCTATCTCATTTTTTAAATTCAGCAAATATGCATATGTAATTTCCAGAATGGATCCGAACAAGGGGTTGCGCAACTAATTTCTAGTTTTGAACCTCAAGTAAGTGAATTTGAGACAAGAATCCAATGGAACTATCATCAATAAATATTATTAGCACACATATCCTCTCTATGCACCTTTGCATTCCCGCTACCTCCAGTAATGGCATATCTGAAGCAGATTTCACATCACATTAGAACCAAACATTGATAACTGAATCCTCACGACGTTTAGGCAACACGTACAACTACAACACGAGTTCAAAACGTGTCCATCACCTAGTGCGATAGTGCTAAGTTAAAATCTTGTAGAAAAACCTACATAATGTCAGAAAAAAAAAACAATATAATGTCAAAAAAAATCGACATAATGTATCTTTTCAAGATACGTGATACCCGTGCGGATTCGCTTTCTTCAATTCTCTGTGAGATATCGCTCCGTTCAGAACCGACCCAGCTCCTGTATAGGCTATATTAAATGTGAAAATTGTTCCTGATAAAATATACCCAGACACCGCTTCCCGACGATAATACTGTATGGGTGAAAAGTGGTATTTGTTGATTTTCTTCAACTAATAACAATAAAGAAGTGCAAGTAAAAGAATGTTGGGTCAACGTTCTTGTAACCTTATTTGAATAGCCGAAATTGTATGTGCATGGTTGTATATTTCTTGATAGATGGAATCCCGATTTATTGTAAAGTTCTCCAGCCTCGATGTATCTGATAAATAAAAAATAGCCTCTAGAAGCCTTGACTGTTTTCACGTTTCACAAATAAATAATCCATAATGTAACGACTTTTTAATACTTCTTGAGTGGAAAAAACATTTCAGATAAAAGTAATGGTTATATGAGGATGCCGATAGAAATGCAAGGCAGTCCAAGTTTGAAAAGGAGGTCGAAACATGTTGCCAAGTTGAAAATGGGCGATTCCAAAGATGATATTCATGTGTGCATTATGTGTATGAGGGCAATCATGAACAATAAGGTAAAGTTATAATTTTTATCAGAACAAAATGTTTAGTTTTATTCCTCAAAATAAACAAACTCAATTTGAGTCTTGTGATTAATCATGAGCCACTTCACAAGACAACAGTTTTAACTGCTGAATAGGTTCAAATTGAATAAAATGGCGCAAATCTTTTAGCCATGCGGATCTGTTTGAAACACATAAGTGATCCTTATCATAATCCACCATGTGCAATCTAAACATTGAAGCTAAGGTTTGTAAATTCCTAAGTTTTGAAGAATGGTCTATTTCGTCAACGGTGATAAATATGTCTGTCCATTCCTAATACTAGTATATTCTTCCCTCTTAAATCAGAATTTGGGAAACAAATTCTGTTTTCCATGTAACAGTCAATAAGACTTGCTGCGACATTATTCTATCGTTGTTGAAAGATTGTTGCGATAACTACGTTTTGATCTTCTTATGCTTATACATTTTTCTATTTTTGACGTTCGTCTATGAAATGCCTAATTCTTTCCTTTTTTAGTATGGTTTCAACATGGTTATCCAGCATAGAGAAGCTATCAACTGCATATCGTTGAGTCTGATCCACAAAAGTTTACGAACGAAAGCTTTAGTCCTGGAACTTCTAGCAGCAATATGCTTAGTGAAAGGTGGTCACGAGATAATTCTATCTGCCTTCGATAATTTCAAAGAAGTATGCCATGAGGTGCATCGATTTCAGACCTTGATGGACTACTTTTTGCATTACGAAGTCTTTCACATAGAATTTATGGTAAGTGTTTTCAATTTTATGTAGGGGGAATGTCAGGTGTATTTCACTCCGTTTGTACCGTTTGGGTCCTAATAGTTTTTGACGTATTTGTGTGTGTGCGCGCAGAGGTTCAACCGAATCTACAAGTAGGGCATTTACAATCTGAAAAATTCACGTTTTTGTTGCAAAAAAAGAAGTATCTCCAACTTTGCCTTTTGTTAAACCATGGAAATATTGGAAAATGAATTGCGCAAGCTTATTTGTCTAGATAATAGGAAAATATTCCATACTGTATATTCAGCTATATAATCAACTTTTGTGTATTTCAGGTGGCATGTATGCAGTTTGTGAACATCATAGTTCACTCTGTCGAGGACATGAATTTTAGAGTCCATCTACAGTACGAATTCACTGCCTTAGGGCTTGATGAGTACTTGGAAAAGTTAAAGTTTACAGAGAGCGAAGAATTGCATGTGAGTTAAGATGTTTCAGCCTTGTGGAATTGGAAGTAGCATATATGTTACAAACGCTCAAACGTATTGGACAGGGCAATAATAAAGGTTGCTTAAAAAATGTAATAAAAATGACAAAGAGAACTTGCTGCATTTTTTTCAGCTCACTAAACTGACTGCTAGCTGGCATAATTGCAATTTCAAAAATTCAAATGCCACAATTATATAATAATTATAATATAATTCATAATTAACATACTTATTAAATAGTGTTTGCTGCTCGATTTCCGAACTTTTTTGCTTATGTTGTTTTTCAAATTTCGGTTAGTTTAGGGTGTGTGAAGGTTTGTGAATGTCATTTTAGAAAAAGTCACATAACTTCTGTTTGACCTCACCGATTTTGATGACCTGCGATCCTAACAATTGTAGCTTGTGGCCGCTAAATGGTGCGTTGTGGATGTGGAAGCATTTTTATCAAAATTCAAAATTTAATGGTATATTTTTCTTCTTGGTCGGAAATTTCATTAAAATCCTATAAAATGGTGAAAACCGTAGATCAGTGTCGTTATTCGTTATGGAGATATATTAATAAATAGGCTTAAATTAAAAGTGTTAAATTTGCTCTTCAACAATTACAGTTAAGGGGCGTGCTGGCCAGAACTAAATTTCGTCAGTATATGCATCCATAGTTATCGTAGCCTTAGGGTGGCGAGTACCAACCAAGAGAGAGAATTCAAAACTAAATTAGTATGCTGCTGAAAATGTGTGAAATTGTCAACTCTAGTTGTTCCATATACGAATCTGGTAGAACATTGAGGCCTAAGTATTGGAAATGCCAACCCATCAGTAATTTACAGAACCCTTGAATTCGCCAATTTTATACGTTTTCGGGAACATACTAATTTAGTTTGAATTCTCTTAGTTGGTGCTTGCCACCATAAGTGGATCTAAATACGTAGAAATATGTAGGAAACATGTTTAATTCTGAATTATCCATATTTCAAAGTCAACAGATAAAATATGAAGTATAATTGAAGAATTGATATTTTTTTCATATAACAGGAGATAGACGCTCTCTAGCGGTTATGAAAAAGCGTATAAATAAATGTTAAAGTGAAATATCCTAAAATCGCATATTGATTCAGTTTACACAACTGTTCATAGCACAAATTCTTTTTCCTATCCAGTAGTACTTGAAAATTGTAATTTAAGCCTAAAGATATTGATCTGCGGTTTTCACCATTTTATAGGAATTTTATGCACTTTTCGATCAAGATACCAAAGTATAATATTGTATATCTAAAAACAATGTTGACTCATCCACAATCTAGTGGCTACATGCTGAACTGATCTGACAAAGCTGAACCTTCTTTTAGGAACGCAGGTGAAATTTCTCAATCGAGAGCTCTATGTTGAGCGGTTGGCGTCCTTTATTATTGGCTCACTTGTTGCAAAGGATAACAGACTTGTAGAGAGATTCTATGACAACTGCATGCACGTGAGATTTCAGAAACATCCGTTATATGGTTATTTGATCATATTCTTTTAGCTATATTACAAATTAGGATTATATCTTTTTTTAAGTGAACTATTTATCATGAGATTTGGCTGTAATTACATTCGTTTTATAATTGAGGAGGTTTTGGCACCATCACATGTACATTTCTTGTAATCTGTGATTGGCAAGTAGGAATGCTTAAATTAAAACTATGTTCATAACTATAGCTGTTGTCCCAGAAGATATACCTAATTGATCTTTTATACACTTTGCCTTGAAATGGATGTGGAATCTTTCATGTCAACATAACTGAAATTGACAAATTCTTCTGATTTATAGGTGCAAATTTCTGCTTATTTGGACAACGTGTTCGATGTTGCCGCATTAATGGAAGATAGTGAAACCAAAACGGCAGCACTGGAAAAAGTCACAGAATTGGAGGAGGAGGTAGCAACGGTAAGGAAGGCCCTCAATTAACAATTATGTCAGTGTAACAAAATTATACCTCGTTTCAGCTACACGAGAGCTTACAAGAAGTGGAACATAGGGCATTAGAACAAATAGCTAGTCTAGAAACAGAACTGATACAGGTAAGGGATAGATCTGTCTTGTTTAAAGACAATTTTCTAATTCAGATCAACTATATGATTCTGTTTGTTGCTTCATTTAAAAATGTATAAACGTGGTTGAATGATTATCCCTATAATGACTTTGAAGCTGAGTCATTTATTTTAACAGTGAATAGATCTGATCAAAAGAAATGTTTTTTTCCTTTACCATTTTTCTGGTAAAATTAAAGTAACAAAGTTATAGCCCTTTGGAAGTTTGAGTACCGCCCTGTCTCAATAATAATATTATGTGCTCGTGTTTGGCGACAACGGATATAATTCGCCTTATCGGTTCATCGCATCGGAAACAAAAAAGCGAAAGAATTTGGAACGATGTTTTTACAATTATTTCATTCAGTTGTATACAGTCAGTGTCAGTCGGTAGTGGATAGTGGTGTCTGTTGCGTGGCTCAAACTAAATAAAAAATGGCACATGTTTATGCGGATCGGTTTCCCAATCGAGTGCAACCAACCCCTCGTGCCTTTGTTAATGTAGTACAACGGGTTCGTGAATCATTTGACTTAAGACCTCACATATGGACGGCATGCCGGTGCTCCAAGACCTCACGATCAAATACAGGTCCGCACTGAAATACTTGTCGGGATGATACTTTATAAAACAAGGTAAACATTTTTTTTTATTTTTTTTTTATTTTTACACACATATTTTGGTTTATCTTCCTTCTACAATCATTATCTGAAAATTAATGACTCAACTTCAAAGTCACCCTGTATATGCTGAAAACTTTTTTAGTTTTCAGATCAACCAAATAGTACCATTTTGAAATTATCGTTCTATGCTCTGTTTCGATTCAGCTTGTATGACAGTTCATAACAGAAAAATTGCTTATATCAGGTTAGGCAAGAAAGAGATGAATTATTAGAGGTTAAGAAAAGGGCTGATGAAGAAGTATCAACGTTAAGAAGGGTTGTGCAACATCATGAGCAGGAGTCAAGAAATAGGCAGTCTATGTTCGAATCAAAAATGGCAGAACTGGGGAAACAATCGCCTGAAAATGGACCGAGTAAGTAAATGTACCAGCTAAATCGGTATCTTTAACGAAAATCGGTATCATTTAAAACCTGTAGTATGAAACTTTTGCAGAAATACACATGCATGCAACTACATATAATGTTAATAACCTAGAGTATCCATAATTTCGACTAAGTATGATTAAAAATAATTTTAACTTATATAATTTATTCGTCAATGCAAATAGAGAACACAACTTTGAAAATATGTCTTATATCTGCTTTTCATGGTTTGCTAAAAAAACGTTGCTTAACCACTGTATATATCCAGTTGATGAGCATGTTAATGATATGACGTCTCTCGGATAGCTTTTAAAAATAGTCTGTATGATCTCACTTGTATAATATTAATATGAGGTGGTTTAGAGTTTGGATTGCTAGTTTTGCAGCTACGGTATATTTTGTCTAAAAAAACTGAACTTTTACAGCTTGTAAGTCAATTAAATTTTCAGGTACATTAGCCAACTTTTCATAAAAATGAGCTTCATATCCCATAGTTTTCCGCCATTTAAACATTTAGATAGATAGATACCTCCCATCCACTAAGTATGGAGCATACAGGGTGGCACATGCATGCGAACACCGCAGATTGTTCTTGGGCGAAAGCCTTTTGAAGGAAAGTTATTATTATATTTGGGGGCACATTTCTAAAATACTCACAATTATGCAGGGTGTCCCCATTTTAACACATGACAAAATTGTATTTTTGGAATGGAATGCCCTAAATCTCACTACAGATTTGGATAAACCAGCTCAAAAGAAGATTGATATAACATGTTATGAAGTTCATTTAATTAGTTAGAGCTATAACGTGTTTTGTCAAAAAGTCTAAATACAATACACTGTATATTTTTGCATTTTCATATTGCATTTTTATAAGCTTTTTTTGTATAAGGATCATAGAGGTTTTTACGGTTTTTTTATTAGCATTTTTTTTTGACACTTAAGTATCGCATCATCAATGGAAACAAAAGAATGGTTGATTAGGTCACAATCTTTCTAAAATGTTCCTAGTGAATATTAGACTAAAAATGTGGTTAAAATCAGTTTTCTTAAGGAAGAAATGTTAAATATGGTGTTCATTTTGGAGGAAGAGCAAAGAGATGGTTTCATAACAACTCGCATTTATAAGCAATGGGGAGACATCGCAGTCTCTGGCCTATATTCTGATATAATCCGAAATAGAATGAGCAAAGACACTATTTTTGTGGATTTTAGCGATCAGGCAACTATGCCACGGAAAATTACCAATTACACATTGAAAATACACCCTGTATATTTTTTCATCCCCTTTCTAAATTTTACGATTTTAAATACCTTCTAAGAATGCTACAACAAAAGTCAAAACATAAAATTTTTGACACTCCTATTCAATGCTACATTTATTTGAGGATGTGCAGGTTATGTGTTTTATTATACGAGTATATTGTGCTGAGATTTTATGATTTTTGGAAAGAAATTTAAAATTTTCGCCGCGAAGTGTAAGTAAATGTTGTTGTCGCTCTTGTTCATGAAGGCTAATTACATATATTTTCCTCCCAAAAATATTTCCAAGCAAGCTTTTATGCAATTATTTTTTTTTTCTTTAGCCTCACCGCATCATCATAGTAGTCTGCCTCATACGATGGACTCCGCAGACCACCTTCCCCCTCCACCACCACCTCTAGAGGCTTTCACATCTGTCCCTCCTCCTCCAGCCCCTCCCACTCCAGCAGCAGCACCCCCACCACCGCCTTGTCCCCCTCCACCGCCCTTGAGGCACGGTTTTGCTCCGCCTCCGCCGCCTGCTGGGCTTATGCAGGCACCAGATGGAGCGATGACCATCAAGAGGAAGGTGCAGACCAAATACAAGTTGCCCACCGTCAACTGGATAGCGCTTAAGCCTAATCAGGTTAAGGGGACTGTGTTTAACGAGTTGGATGATGACAAGTGAGTATTTGTTTTAATAGAGAATACAAGGAAAATTAGCGTCAGGCAAATTGACTCCATACTTAAATACATATGTTGGGTTTAAACTATGCAACATCGTGTACCCAGATTTACTACTTATGTAATTTGGACGTGCGGAAACTTAATAGCCAAATGGTCGGATAACATATAGTTCAGGAACTATCCTGACATGCGCTCGCAAATATATTCTGATTCGGTTTTTACATGATCTTATTCAAACGGAATTTGTTTTAACGAATCGGCATCTTACCAGGCCCAAATTTGTTTCCAAAAGTGATTTTTTTGCTCCGAACAAATAATTTTTGGGTTTTTTGGCTAATTCTGAACAAAAAAGGTTTTTATGAACTTTTCTATAAAGTTGCTAGTTTTTGATATATAAGTGATTTAATATTTGAAAAAGTGCACAATGTGTCATTTGCGAGCCCGAAAAACAATATGAAGAAAACATAACTCCAATGTAACACCTGAAACTTATCCTGTGGTTTTCATGCTGCTGTGGTTTCATTTGGCCTGCCAATAATGGAGTCTTATCAAAATAATAACATTCTCGACCATTTTAGGTGTTTTTATTGTAAGGCTTTGTTTTTTAATTGTTAATCAAGCGCGCGCTCAGGCAGAATAATATACATTGAGTTCGCCATTGATTGACTATTAATAAAGAAAAGTTTTCAATGAAATTTCTCTCTAAAATGTTTTGGGATTCTGTTAGTGGATGTTTGAAGAATATTTAGGATGGTTTTTTTATATCGAAGCAGCCGCGCAGGCAGAAGCCGGAACACCGCGGCGGCTATGATGATCCCAAAGAAATTTTATTAATACGATTTTTTAACTACCTAAGGTTAATAGAACTGGGAAAAGCTTCCTCGTGTAGATTGTTCCACAATCTCGACACCCTCGGGACAAAGGAGCGGTCGTATCGGCCGGTTCTGGATGTACGAAGTTCGACACGGTTATACTGGGACGCCAAAGTCAGGCGGGTCTATCTGGCACGCACATCGTGCGGCGGCATCATGGAAGAGAGTTCTGAGGAGCAAAGCCCTTTGGTGTAACGGTAGAAAAGAGCTAGATCGCCGACAGTCCGCCGGTGCGAAATAGTCCCGAGACTGTCTGTTAGAGAAGAGTCATCAATCAGTCGTAACGCCCTCCTCTGGACAGCATGGAGCATGGATAATGAAGTCGGGGCGGCAGCACCCCAAACGTGTGAGCAATACTCGAGGCTAGGCCTTATCTGGGCCTTGTATAGAGTGAGAAGGTCATGCGGAGAAAAGTACTTCTTGTGTTCGTGTCAGATCAGGTCCTCGGTGATCTGGACTCCGACCAGCCGTAATGAGTGGCTCTTTGGCAGAACTCGACCATCCATCGGAACCGGGTGAGCGCAGGGACGCTTTTTGTTCGTCAAATTACTGCGTTTTGGAAGCATTGAACTGTACAAGATTGTTGCGTCCCCAAGCAGTGATAGCCTCCAGGTCTCTTGTCAGAGAGGAAGTCATCGCTAGTCTTCTTTTTTCCAACTTAGCGGCAGAGATCGGCTTGTCACTCTGAATTCCTGCATGTAGAGTGCTGTGATCAGCGAAGCTGTGGATTGGGTTGATCGTGCAGGAAAGGAGGTCGTTGATATGTAAGAGAAACAGTGTTGACGTTGTGGGATGAAGAGGAGAACCCGTCAATTACCACGGATATCTTGCGGCCAGAGATAGTCAGCCACTCATCTGCAAAGTTTTTCTGGGAGGCCATAGGATGGAAGTTTGCTTAAGAGAGCAGCGTGCCACAGCTGATCGAACGCTTTCGTGATGTCAAGAGCAACGACATGAGCCTCACCATAAGACTGCATGAGTTTACTCCACAATTGAGTGACGTAAGCTAGGAGGCCCCCTGTGGATCTCTCCATCACCTTACTTAAAACAGAAAGCAGAGCTATAGGCCTGTAGTTGTAAGGGTCGGTCTCAGATCCCTTTTTTGGGATGGGTTGGACATGAGCAAATTTCCAGTTTTCTCGGAAGGTTCCGGATTCATAAGATATCTGGAAGAGACGCGAAAGAATTGGACCAAGATCCGGTGCACAGCTCTTCAGTACAATGGCAGGAATCAAGTCCGGACCAGAAGCTTTGTTGATGTCGAGCGATAAGAGCACTCGTCTAACGGTCTTATGCCTGAATGTTACCTCCCGCATAGTGTAGGGAACCCTTTGAATTGACGGCACTTGGGCGTTGGGGGGGACGTCCATGGTGGAGTTGGCAGCAAAGATCTTGGCTAGCACTCCGGCTTTGGTCTTTGAGTTGAATACAATAGTTCCATCATGACACGTAAGTGGTGGAAGGCTACTGTGTGAGAAGTTCTTTTCAATCTGCTTGGCCAGCGTCCAGAAAGACCGACTAACATTGCGCTGCGACATTACCCTGTGCCTAACTTTTATATCGTGCTGGTTTTTGGAATTGTGAACCGCTGCTTTATATTTGTTTCTGCACTCGACGTCGGCTTGTCTGTTCTGTACAGTGGGGTTTTGTAAGAAGGTTCTGTGTGCCTTGATCTTCTGCTGGCCAGCAGCATCATACGATTTGTTAAACCAGCCGTTGGACCCTGGTCTAGGCACTTTCACTGTGTGAGGGATGTATTCCTCCATTCCGACGTGGATAATTTCGGTTATCGAAGAACAGACAGCCGACTCATCCGCGTCAGTGAAACAGACATATTTCCAAGGAAAGCTAGAGTAGAAGTTTCTGAGCCCCTCCCAGTCGGCATGTCCGTAATGCCAAGTTTTGCGGCCTGTACGAGTTTCTGCTGCCACAGCGGGTTCTGATCAAAACCTAACCTCCACAACACCGTGGTGTGAGTTACCCAGGGGGGACAGGACAGCAGTGCTGTGAAGGACAGGATGCGTGGCCAGAAAGAGATCCAGCAGGCTACTGGCGTGTGACGAGACCCGGGAAAAAAAGTAGGGCTCGTCACCAGCTAAGTCAGCCCTTGGGTAAGAGCGAACGCTTCGACTGCACGACCTGCTGCATCGGTCTTGTTTGAGCCCAACCAAAGCTGATTATGGGTATTGAAATCACCGAGAAGAACTACCTCTGAAGCGGGATGATTGATGTTCAGGAAGTCGATCTGGACGGCGAGGTATTCGAGTAGGTCATCCCAGTTATGGTCCGAGAGAGAGCGATAAAGGCAGCAAATAAATTTGAGTGATGTTTTGGAGTTGAGGCGAAGCCACAGAATGTTTTGCAACATTAAAATTTTCGTTTTTTCATATTGTTTTTCAGGGTCGAACATGGCATATTTAGTAAATATTACATCGCTTTTATCTCGAGAACTATGAACTTCAGAGAAATGTTCATAAGAACTTTTTTTGTTTGTTCAGAATGGCCCAAAAATCTAAAAAAGCCTGGCATGCAGATCAATAGAAGTATTACTTTTTGAACAAGATTATGTATAAAACCGAATCAGAATATTTTTGCGAGTTGGTGCGAGGATAGTTTCTTGACCAATAAGAAGTGATTGATATATGTGTTTTACTTTAAATATAGTAGTAGCCGGCATGCGTGAACCGCCACCTATGTGAAATGAGCCGTTATACTGTTATTTTTCTAAACAACTGCAACCCACCTCTTAGTAGCATAGTTTGTGGATTTGGATCAAGAATCAACGATAGCACCGCGCTATGCACAATGGTGTCCCATGACAACCGAAGCACTGGGCACATTTGTCAAAGTAGCCAACACACACAGCTACTGCAAGCTACGGATAGCTATATGTAGTACGCTTTTTGCATAAATCGTAATTTGTCATCAGGAATTCCAATGTGACATGACGAACCGCAGTCTGACACAATGAATCCTAATTTGATAGTAAGGCCTGGTTTTTCAATTGTAGGTTTTACTGCTAACCAGAAATTAACACTCAAAACGCGTTTTTCAATGTCAGGTTTGTGCTTAAACGGTAGTTAACTTTAACCAGAAGACCGTCTTGCTCAGACATGGTGCTACTCACAGTCAATCTGCTCTGGCGCCGGCCAGCCAGCCATTTTACATCCCCGCTCAACGTATATCAAGACATCACGTTACTCACTTCACCTAGAGAGTTTTGAAAGTCCGATTCATATTTGATTAGCCCTCGTTTCCAATATCTATCAATAGCTTGAAACAGGATCTAATATTACAAGACTACATACATATAATATGTTTAATTCTGTATGTCTTTCTTTAGATTACATTCGTGCATAGACTTCATCGACTTTGAGGAACGTTTTAAGATTGGCAACGCCAATCTGATGTCGAATGGGGTGGCTGAAACGGACGGGCTAACAACATTCCCCAGCAAAAGGTGCAAGAAGCCTGAAAACGTCACATTACTGGAGCATACGAGACTTAGAAATATTGGTAAGCATGTGTTTGAATCTAATTTCTAAATAAGCTCGCACTTGGCAATGTACACTTAGTTACAACAGTTTATGGATACCAGGGACTATCAAATACGGTCATCCGAAAATATTGATGTTATATGACTACGTATTGACCTGACCGGCAGGAGTATTACGTAAAAATGTTACATAAGGTTTGTTCGCACAGTGGTCGGTGACTGTGTGTGGGATCCGACCGTGTGAATTCCATCTATATAGCCTAGCAGAGTGAACTCTGTGGCAGGATCTTTCACATGGTCACTGACATGTTGACAGGTGACTGCTGTACGAACAGGACTTTAATGTCAAAGGAGGTAGCTGCTATTGCGTATCTAGTGCATACCGCTCATACAGGTATGCTACTACGAGAAGACATGGAGTGAATGACAGCTAGTTTCAAGTTAATTTTTTGTACAAAAAATATGACATTACATAAGTAGTAACATAAAAATCTTACTTAGTGTCACTTTTCAAATTTACATAATACCACTGCTGGACTATCAGGAGCTAATTGTTGGAAGGAACATCTATCATCGCTAAATGAGTGTCATAGAAACGCTAGGCACTGTTCTCACCAAAAGCAACTCAATTTCGCCTTGCTTCGAAGTTGCGAAGAAAATCACAAAGTATGTACGTACTTAATAGTGAGGATGCGAAATATAGACTTTATTTATTTTTAAAAAGCTCTGACATCAAAGTGTATAAGTCACGTATTTCACAAATAAAATCAAGTCGATCAGTCAACTTATGTGGTAATATAATATCAATAATTAGTAAGGTAACAGTTTTGTTATTGCTTGTGGGGAGTTCCACAGTTTCAAACTTACTTTTGGTTTTCATTATTTCAGCCATATCTCGACGGAAACTGGAGATGTCCGCAGAGAAAGTGATTAACGCCATAAACACTCTGGATTTGAAGCAGCTGTCGCTCGAGAATGTGGAGTTGCTTCAGAGAATGGTACCCTCGGAACAGGAGACCAAAGCTTACAGGGAATACATAAACGAAAAGAAGAACGTCAATTTATTGACGGAAGAAGACAAGTTCCTATTACAACTCACCAAAGTCGAGAGGATATCGGCCAAGTTGTCCATTATGAGTTATATTGGAAACTTTTTCGATAATTTGCATCTTGTCACACCTGTAAGTATCAGAATTCCACTTCTACCTATTATTTAAAATGCGAAGCACAGTCGTTCCATGAAGCCTCCCTAATATGATGTTGCGTTATTTGCCTTGTCACTTGAGAGGGCTAGGACAACTGTCAAATATCAATGGTGACTTGTTTCATCTGATTGTTAAATATTAACGTAATGTTTGATGTGAAATGTATTTTTTATTGGCATCAGATCCAAAATGGGTGGACCTCTGAGTGCATTGAGGAGAGTATTGGAATCAGATAGCCTTGAAATTGCCCACTATGGAAGGCAATGAGGAGGCCTTAGATGCAACAAGACCGCCTTCTTTCTTGAAAAACGTTTGGTAACTCTTCTGTCACTAGCATATGTCAAAGTTATCAGGCAAAAAATAAAGCCTCGCCACAAAAAGGTACCTTAATTGAAAGGAATGCCGATGAGTTCTCCCTATGCATATTTTGTGACTTTTATAACATAACCAACCATAAAGGATCATTGCTGACACCTTCATACAGTAATTATAAATATTAATGAAATTCATTGACATCTCCTCCCATAGGAGTTTATAGTGAACTAGACTATTCATTGTTTAAAATTAATAGTCAACAGTCAAAGTAAAAAGGATTTTTATTACAGCAAATTCACGCGATTATCTCCAGTTCGAACTCTGTGAAAAACTCGAAGAAACTTCGCTCCGTCTTGGAGATAATCCTTGCCTTTGGTAACTACCTGAATAGCAGCAAGAGAGGACCTGCATACGGCTTTAAGCTGCAGTCCTTAGACACCCTTCTAGATACTAAATCTACAGACAAAAGACTATGCCTTCTACATTATATCGTCGCCACTATCAGGCAGAAGTTCCCTGAGCTTCTGAACTTCGATACAGAGTTGCACTACATCGAAAAAGCAGCAGTCGGTGAGTAATTTCAGAAAATCATATCTTTGATGCTAAGATCTTTTATGAATACAAAATTAACTTTTCTTTGATGCAACAGTGTAACTACAAAAACACTTGAGATATTTAGAATTCATATATCTATCTAGTCTGATATTCATGGAAAGTGTTGATCTACCCCAGTCATACAGGGTTACTGATTATTCGCCATATACCTTCCAGGACTCTTATTCTTGGAAACAAGTGATTAGAATAACTGGAAGAAAGTAGCCGTGGTTCTCTTACCTTTCGCAAAACTGAATTCCTGAATGCTAATGAAATCATACTTGTGTTCCGAGTCATTTTTGGGAGAAAAAAAAGTCTCACCGTCGATGAAACGTTTAATGATATGATGAACTTAGAAACACATTATTTTGCCCAAAATAGATGTAGTTTCAAACGTCAAACCATACGTCAAAAGCTGTAAGAAAATGTAATACTACAGTTTCAATAATTGAGTCTCAGGCCGTGATAGGGACATAAAATGCAGCAAATTTCTATATATTATACCTATATGTATCAGTGTTTTTCCAGGTTTTACCATCGTTTTGTGTTTTTAGCAATTACCCGAACCTGGCCATTTGAGTCTGAAGAATAAGAAATGCAAGAAATATGTGAAAATTCAATAGATTTTCGTTGTTTTTACTTAAATTTAGCTGGTTCAATCACATAAGGTGCAAAAATACTATACACAAATAACACTTATTCTAAAAAATAGTTTCCATGTTCAACAACAACAAAATTGTGTCTAGCTCTAAAAATAGCTAATACATTGAGCATCCAAATTGCTAGAAAAACCTGCCCGTCTAGTCAGCATTCCAAAGAGATATAAAAGATCAGTATGGTAGCGTCCAGTACTTTCAAATATACAATCAAACTGATTTAGGTTAAATAATAATCCTTTGGAAAAACGGCGACTTCAACGATTATTTTATTGAATGTATTTATTATTCAAAAATCATGTTCAATACGAGCCTCTCTACGAGTTGCGAATAGCTGCATTCGCTTTTTAACTCCTGCTTTTGTTACCTTTGTTGTAAATCGCAGCTCCCAGTTTTTGCGGTATTAACCATGCTCTAGAGATATTGCTGTAATATAATAAATGCACTGAAGTTTGTTTCACATGTTTTCGATACGTAGCTCCTTAACAGCTCCACAGACGTAGAAAATTCTGCACTATTCAGTGATTTGAATATGGCGTTATTGTCTTTATAACTTTTGTAAGTACACTGAAAATATTAGTATTGCTCTCACACTCGCAGAATTTTCTGCGTCTTTGGTGCTGTTAGGAAGTTACACATCGAAAGTACACAACGCGGCGAATTATGAGACTTCAGAGAGTTTGTTATATTATTATAGACCACTGCCTTTATGCGCATCTTGGATGAAGCAAAACCATTGAGAGCCCCTTTTACTACAAAAGTGACAAAAGCACGAGCTAGAAAGTGATACAGATACTCACAACTAAGAGGCTCGTATCCAAATGAATTATTCAATTAGTCAAAGGCGCCTAAATCGGTTTGATTGACTATTTGATAAGAATTAAATGCTGTCATACCTTTTGGAAACCTGACTATACGGGCAAGTTTTTCTAGCAATTTGTACTGTCAATGTAAAAAACAGCAATTTTCGGAGCTAGACATAGTTTTGTTCTAATTTTATTGTGTGTAGAGTCTTTACAGCTTTTATGATTGTTCAAGATTGAAAAATTCGAAAAATCTCGAAACTGATTGGTTTTCAACCATACATATAGGGTGAACTTCCTTGCATCTTATGTCCACTATCATACCTTACCAGTAACCCTGTATAAACAATTTCTTGATTCTATAGCCCTTAGCAAACTATAGTGCATCGATCACGCAACAAGAATTTTGTTTGCCCACTGTTTTGTATTCCAATATATCCCAAAAAATGTTCGACAATCATGGAATGTTTTTTCTTGAATACATAATGCTTTTACTAATAAATCATATATTTCACATAGATACCAAACGTTACAGAAATATACAATTATTTACGAAAGCTCCCCATACTCTTTCTTTATATCATCCGAAACCTTCTCTCCAACCATAACACATGGGGCACTGGGGTGTCCTGACATGACAGCCGGAATAACACTCGCATCTGCTACTCTCAGATGCCTCACTCCAAAAACGCGCAGCTTTGAATCGACTACCGCGCCATCTTTGGGGCTTTTCCCCATTGAACATGTTCCGACGAGATGTAACGCACTCTGTGTGGTGTGTCTTATAGCGCAGTACCAGTATTCTTTGGATAAGAAGTCTAGATGTTCACAGCCTGGCAGCGGATTGCTTGCAAATTTAGCGTTGATGAATTTGAAAGCCTGAGTGTTTGTGAAGTTGAACACCAATTGAACACCTGAAATTGAAAATTGCTTTAAGAAAGTATCTCGATTTTTCAGACGCTCCAGTCTGTGCTTTGCAAAGTAAGGTTCTGCTTACATAATTATATCTTTAACAAAATAAACACACGACGTTTTAATATCGCTACTTTTTGGGGTATCACAAAATCTAAATCACCCGTTCCCATCGGTCTGTCCGTCGATGATTTTTTCGAAATGTAATCTCAACAATTGCTACGCAGATATTAGGTTAGCAATATAGGGTGTTACCTAATAGTAGAAAAGCTCTTATAAAGATGTGTCCTAAACAGTCTGGTTTCCAAAATACTAGATGTCAAAGTTGGTTTTTATTAAGATTTCAAAGATCCTGGTGCGGATTTTGTTGGGTGTTGGCAGTGTTGTTCATTGCAATAAGACCCTAAGCTAGCACTAACTAGAAGGTAATTACGAATTCCAGTGGCGTCTCGGGAGTAGTCTCACTGACAAGATAATATTGACAAAAGATTGTACGCCACTGATTTAAAAACTTTTTCGTTTTCGAGGAGAAAAATAAAAATAACTTCATGTCATGTCGAAAAATTGTTGAAAGAAAATCAAATCAACTTTGATCATTGCTATGGAATCCACATATTTCTGTTATGAACATATTTTTGACCTTCCTTGACAGGTTGCTATTATTTTTCCTCTGTCAAAAGGAAGACTGGATACTAGACTTTTTAGGCCATATATTTGTATGAACTTTTCTGCTCAAATTTGGTTCAGGAAAGCGCCCTTGTAATTACGGCCTTAAGTAACATCCTGTATAATATAAAGTGCAATAGTATGACAATAGTAACCATTTTAGTAGAATCAATAGATTGGAAGCCAAGAAACAAATAAGAAAGTTGCAGATCATTCTCAAACTTTGCTTTTGTGCTTATTTAAGGTCTTGAATAATGTCATTAATTATTCTTGTGGAAAAAAGTGCGTCTGCTCGACGCCATTGTCACTAAAGAACTTCAGAATAAACCTTCTATTATCTTTTGTTTAGTATGGATATTAAGAATAAGGGCGCAGTACTTAAAATCGATCTATTTACCTTCATATAACGTTTCAACATCCTTGTCATTGACCAGAAAATTCAAATCAATTTTGGGAAACTGAAACGGGTCGGTGCTTCTCAATTTCACACTGCCAGCTGAAGTAGGATGCATCAAACTCACGAAAAACTGCATCACTCTGCTATTGTTCCCGAACATTGCATCGTATGTCTTATCCGACCAATACCAAGTCCTTTTGCTTATCTCCGCTTTAGGAACACTTTCTAGAACAATCTCTAAGTCTGGAACCCCTGAGCTGTGTTGTGGTGTGTGATAGAATCCCAAAGTTTGAGTAGCAAACCCCGTGGTTAGGGTACCGGTGCCATGAAGAAAGTCTGCAAGTTTTTTAGCGAGTGGTTCGTCAGGTATGGACGCATTGTGGGTGAAAAGCATGCCAAATAGATATGGATGGTCTTGAAGATTGTTTCCTACAGGTAAATCTTGGATGACAGATATGTTTAATGACGTCAAATCTATCTTTGGTCCAACCCCTGAATGCATTAATATTTGGGGAGAATTTAGTGCTCCTGCAGATAGTATTATTTCCTTGTTAGCCCTCGCTCTGTATACAATGCCATCCTTCGTAAATAGTACACTTCTAGCTATTTTGTTTTCATCTATTTCAATCTTAAACGCAAAACTTCGTGTAAGTACCTCCAAATTATTTCTGTTAATGGCTGTTAGTACAAAGGAAGTACCGGTATCATGTCTATGACCACCTTTGGTGTTGTATTGGTATGAAGATATTCCAATTACATCGGGACTATTGTAATCAGTAACTTTAAATCCTAACTCCTTATTGGCTTGATAGAATGTTTTTGTTAGAACGCTTACAGTAGGTTTTTGTTCAACATTCCACAGCCCACCAGTATTATGATAACGTCTGTTGATTGGTGCCTCAGGGTAGGTAGTGTTCAGATTTTCTGATTTGAGGAAATATTTGAGGACATTTTCATATTTCCAACTAAGATCTCCTGATATGTCAGCATACAGGTCGTAGTCCAGAGGGTTGCATCTACTATAAACCAGTGCATTTATCAAGGTTGAGCCTCCTATACCTCTCCCTCTCATCAGTGGGCAGACTTTTCCGTTTGTACCTGAAAATTTCATGGATTTCTTTAGAATGATCCGTTTCCATAATTTTGCTAACATATTTTTAAGCCTCGATAACAAAAGAGTGGTGTTATGAGTCTAACCATTGATTCGCGTATTATACCTGATGATGATCAACCATATACTGAATTCCCGCGTCTAAAAAGGGATCTGAAAGATACTAGCGACATCTATGAGACAGTAGTAGAACATAAAAACGAACTTAGAAACCTACTTTGAAAAGAGTTAGAGTGCCTGGTGTTCCAATATCTCATAGAGGGTCTTCAATCTCTTTCTGGCGTTTCTCTGATGCCTATTTTAATTTGGTATCTTCAGACATATTCCACCTGAAGCTACCCGATTGAAGTAGACATTAGGGAAGCCAAAAATGGATTAAAGGTATGTATTATGTATTCTACTACTGTCTCGGAGATGGCGCTAGTATCTTTCAGATCCCTTTTAGAAACGTCGGAGTACAGTTATAGTTAGCTATCTTTAGGTAGAATACGTTAATGAATGGTCTAACGTATGCATCTGTATAACAGTGCTCTTCTGGTGCCCTATCCCGTTATTTGTTAAAGGGCTAAGTAGGTACTGTATCTATATTCAGGATGATGAAATTGATGCATAAATGCTATAGCTTATTGTGAAAGTGACAGTTGAGAATTAAATTGAATGGGGAGTCATTATTTTGAGGCTCCTATTGAGTACCTTATGCTGCCGTGCCAAGCACAATGCAATTTCCGTGCATATTTGGATATTGATATCTAGTAAATCAGTGCCATTCTTTACTTACTGGTATACTTTTTTGGCGTAACATACAATAGTTTTCTTAAAATCATACATTTTTCATTTTGACGTATCGGCACAAATGAATCAGGGGTTTAAACTTTAGACGCCTTTTTCTCGGTTTCATGTCAGCAGTAGTTAGCCGTGCTTAGCACGGTAGTATAACCCTAGAATATAAAGTTTTCTATCTTCCAAAAAGGACGGATTGACGGGCTGTCAAAATTGGGCATTTTTTTCATTGACTCACCACTAAATCAACAGCTACTCATTATCTTTTTTGAAATGGTATGAAAAAAATATGATGCATTCAATTTAAAATAAATTTTGAGGTTTTTTAAATGGAGTCCGGTGTAATTAACTCACCTAAACAGGCCTTAGATTGTGGCTCTGAAATATAAAGCCATCCATAAGGGCTAAATACTGTTATTTGTGCAAATCCTGGTATGTCGACGAATTCATTCGAATGAGATCCTGCGTCTAACAGCAGAACCTTCCAGTCATTCACTTCAGACAGTCTGTTGGCAACAACCGAACCAGTAGATCCTGAACCAATGATAATAAAGTCGTACGTTCCATGATCTGCAAATAATTTGTAATAAAAACAGGTTGTTCCTTAAACCTGAGGCAAATATTCAGACGGTTAATTTTTGAACTGTTCTATGAAAATTTCATCTTTTGACGATTTTCGTAAATCTCTCCATCACAGATCGAATATTTATATTATATTTGTTTTGTCAGTAAAAATCATGCTTACCTATAGGCTCCTGGTTAGAATCCTTAGGCCTGTACTCGCTGAAATCCTTCGGAGTTCCAAACTTGTTGATGTTTGCTAACTCATTTTCGATTACATTCATGTAGTAATTAATTTTCTCTTCTACATCGCTGCAGCTTGAGGAACAGAATATAACTGTTAGCAAAAATACTAACTGATATGATAGCATACTCCTTAGAAAGCCACACCACACAGACTGATTGAGATAGTGGATTTTGTTGTTTGTATATTCAGAAAATATGTGATTATGATTACCATTTTTTTTCTGTGTATATCAGTTAATAGGTTATCGAGTGAAAAAATTAATGAAACATACAAGGATTATCTAAAAACCTGACAGGCATTGTACGAGGATTGTTTGAGATGTTCTTAACTTCACTATACAAGTGGCGAACTAATCTTTGTAATCATTGCATCCTGTGTAATTTATTGGTTGTAGAATTATATTAAACTTGAATCCTCAAGTTCCCTAAATCTAGCACCTCTTTACTTCGGAAGTTCCTCCTGATCTAGCTAAGGATGCGCCAATGTGGCAGTGGGGAAGTTGAGGACCATTAGCCCCACTGCTGTATGCTTCACCCTTATAATCCAATAGAATATTTAAAATGATACAATTTTTCTTATGGCTCAATGGTTTATGAGAGGAATCTCCTCTGACTGTTATCTCCTTGGACCGGGTGAAAATGTATCAGAATTAACTTACAGCGAATTACATTGACACAACTATCAAAAGATAAAACGCCCATTCTTTAAGCTGCCTTTCTTCAGCCCCTTATTCATAGAATGCAGCTAAAAGAATGTTGTCAAGTAGGTTAAATAATTTTTAGGGGCAAGTGTACAGGGAAATCTATAATTTTAAAATATATTATAAATATTCTGAAAAATTGATATATACCATCTCCCATCCCCCACAACTCCCAATTTTAATCACTTTAAAAAACATTCTCAAAATGATGATTGGCCTCTGGAACCCTCGCGATTTTTATTTATTTTCCGTTTCTTACACCTCGGTCCACCGCCTCTGGACCGATTTCCAAAAAAGAAACAAAGCTTCTTCGTCCTTGGCGTGGTAATAACTTTGTGTAAAAATGACATCAAAATCCGAGCGGTACTTTCTAAGTTACAGGCGGGCCAAGAATTAGCGGATTCACTGACAGACAGACCGACGGAAATGAGTGGCACTGTTTTTTGTGTTGTGCATGTCTATAACATCCAAAAAACACATCTCGAGAATATGCGGGAAGTAAAAAGGCGCCAAGCTGCACTCAACTTTTAGCGTTAAGTTTGAAAACAGTCAGTTAGTGAGGCTGTCAAATAGACATTACTTGTAGGTGATGTTGGAAGTTCAATTAATTTTTATCGATATGGTGAACCTAAAGGTCCCGAAGATACGTCAGTTGATATATTAATGAAATCAAAATATGTAGAGCAGAGCTTATGAATAATCTTGATTATTATACATTGCTGGGATTCTTTCATTCATTTTCGAACATTGCTCGTAATCGGTTGTAAACAAATTTATATTAGTAAGTGATATATTCAAATCATTGCTGATATCATTGTGGATGATTTACACTTTGTATACTTTAAGCGAGAGAATGGTTAATATTATTGTTAGTCAAAGTACCAGGCACAAATTATGGAATTTCACAACCCGTCAAATTTATTGAAAATTTGTATAGTGATAGTTCATATTGTGCTAGTCAAATGTCCCAATGGACGCAAAGCGCAGAAATGCTTTCTATTTGGATTATATACAGGGTGTCAAAGATTGGTGATTTAGTCCCTCTGATTACGTCTGCCTGCAACAGTTTTCGAAAACTCGTCTTCAATGTGTACCCAGGATACGTAACGATATAATAAAATTACGTGGACACATATTTTTATAGTTTTAAATGGTAGTCTCACCATTTTAGATCTCGGAAACAGAATAACGACGTCGCGTCCTTTAAATGTGGCAAAATTGAGCATTAAGCTAACTAATAAAATGACATTTACAAAGCTTCGCAGTTCACTGTATTTCCGGAAAGCGATAGAAGGCTTAGTTTTCCCAAAATTGTGGGATTTTAGAATAAACTGCACATTAACATTGCCATTTTTTATCTACAAGGTAACAATAATAATTTCATTTTTCATTCGATGAGTTACGATCAGCTAAAGGGAGACAACTATTTCATGCATTTGAATTTTTATAATATCAATTCATGCCATAATATTTCATTTTAATTATTATAATATTAAATCATTAAAACCGAAAATAGGAATTGTTGCCTGGTTCATAAAAACTGATTGCTTGGCTGATTATATAAAAGAAATGGCTAATCTGGCCAACTGAGAACATTGTTTTTTTAAGGAACCAAGGCTTGGCAATGTCAATGTATGACATACGAGTATAATTTTTTTGAAACGGAATAAAAAAATCTGTTCACCTGAGCAAAAATTCAATAGAGCGTTCATAAGAAAACATGAAATTTATGATTGAGCACAAGAGACGAACCGTCATCTTGAAATTCTAATTATGCCGAGTTGTAGAGGAGAAAAAGTGGCAATATTAATCAAATAAGGCCAGGGAAAATAAAAAGATTTTGGGAAAATTCGTTTTTTGTTTCGCCTATCTCTGGAAATACTCTGAAATGCGAAACTTTCCAAGTGCCAATCTGCGCAACTTTGTCCCCATTCAAGGTTTGTTCGTACAGTGATCAGTGACTGTGTCTGGTATTCCGGCCGCCTTGGACACGGTCACTGACACGATCGCGACTGCTGTACGAACAAGACTTTAACCTACTCCGTATCTCAAAATGATTCAGGCAGGCATGCCTATAGGAGCTAAGGCACCAATCTTTGTCACCCTGTATCACTAATAATGCTATGCGCTCACTGGAATATTTGATCAGCACAACATGAATTATTACTGCATTTCATTGAATTTGACCGATGGTGGCCAAATATGTTTTCCGCCTGGTACCTTATTCAAATGACAATGCTTTTGTGAAAAATAAATTTGAACATGACCTATGTCTGTCGTATTGATCTTATTTCTAGAAAAATTATGAAATATGTTCTGCGTGATGCAACAACGAAAAGTTGTAGATTTTATCTAGAACTCAATGACCCATATAAATTGTTCAATTCGCTTGGTTATTTGTTAATATATGTCGAATATGTTGTAGATTCCGATGCGTACCATAAAAATGTCGATTGTTCGTGTGCTCAAAGTTTTTAAAAGGGTTAGAGAACAGGTAGTGTAGTTAGCGAGTACAGTCGACAATTAGCAATGGCTGCTTAGTGTTTATTTAACAAACTTTAATTTATGGGCCATTGGATTATATTCCATGAAATTCATTATTTTTATTTGTCAGAGGTTACTGCTTTCGTGGAAGATATGCCGCCTCTACAGGGCGATTCATAACTATTTGCAACGCATTCATACATTTTTTAAATGGAATATCGTGTATATTTTGGCATACACTGAAAGGCCTTTTCAAAGGAGAAATTTTCTGGGGCTACGAGATATTTAGTCTGAATAATCACTCAACTTTGATATCTTGCCAGCCACTTTTGCGATAGAGTGGCAACATTCTCGTCAAGATGAATATCATATTTCCAAATTTTGTGCATAATCTAAGAGATTTTTCTCAACCTGTGTAGTTTTACGGTTTCGAGTTATCCTTTTTATAAGCTTTATTTTTGAGTGGATAAATTCCTAAATTTTTAAGTAATTCGCAGTTTCTTAGCAATCACAATTCAAAAATATCAAATAATTAGTGCAACGGGAGAATTTTTATTGGATGGATACAAGAGTTCATTCGAATTACCTTCCATCCACTAAAAATCTACGCCATCCACGAACGTGGCATTCACAAATTTTGAATTATAATTCCTGGAAAACTGCAGGTATATACATAAATATACAGGTTAGTACATTCGGCTTTTATGGTATAGGCGAATCACAAATGCAAAATTCAGATTTTCGCCGATGTCACTAAAAAAAATATTCAAACTGGTATCTCTTATATAAATGAAGACGTGAAACTTGTCTCAAAGTGGTTAGCATTTAACAGACTAAAATTAAATACAAGTAAAACGAAAGCCTTGTTAATCGGAAAAAAACAATGTACAAATGTTCAACTGAATATTGATGGTGAAGATATTGAATTCGTGGAAAATTTTAAATACCTGGGGGTTTTTGTTGACTCTCGATTAATTTTTGATATTCATTATGAAAAAGTTATAAATAGGATTAATAGTAAAGTGGGATATTTATCGAGAGTTTCTGGATGTCAGAGTTCATATAGCAGAAAAATTATCTATAATACCATCATTCTTCCAAATTTCTTATACTGTTCGACTATTTTATATTTAGCAAATAATTCTATTTTTGAATGACTGCAAATTTTACAAAATAAGTGCATGAGAATAATACTAAATAAAGATAAATATACTCCAATTAGGCAAATGCTTAGCAAATGGCAAATGGCTCAATGTAAAAAATTGTATCAAATATCTTGTAATGATATTCATTTATAAAGTAAAAAATAATATATTTCCATCAAGTCTAACTAATTTGACATCATCAAATGTCGACCATCATTTACATAATACCAGAATGAATGAATGAATGAATCTTAAAAATTTTAGAGGCATCCCGGCCACCATAAGGAGCCAGTGCATAGGCCGCTTAAGCGGGCCCTTATGCACCTCTACAATACTTAAATCACAAGCCTCGCCCTTTTAGCAAAGTTGAGAATCGCCTTGAGTCCAAGCTCCTTTACGTCCTGAGGGTCCAAAGTAATGGACCCCAGTATAGTCTGCCTATAGTAGCTCAGAGCTTCACAGCGACACAAAACGTGCGCCGAGGTCTCTTCCTCTACTCCGCAGTGTTCGCACAAGGGATCCTCAGCCACCCCCATCACGTGCAGGTGCCGCCTTAACGTGTTATGGCCAGACAACAGTCCCACCAGCAACCTTAGGTTGGCTCTACCCAGAGATAGGCAGAAGCGTCCATCCTTAGCACTGGGCCCTTCAATGAGTTCTCGTGCCTGGCGGCGATGTCTAGAGATACTTCTCCATTTCTGAGAGTGTTGTCTTGCAACCCACGTCTCCATTTTCCTCCTAGCTTTGTGCGCGGTTACTCCTAGAGCTGGCTCAGGACCAACGAGCTTGCTGGCTGATCCTGTTTTCGCCAGAATGTCCGCCGTCTCATTGCCCCTTATCCCAGCGTGCCCCGG